TTCTCCTTTCTATTTCCTACTAAAGCAGAAAAAAGAAATTATTGACTCACATTAATTGTGTAATGTAGTTCAATGTGAATGAAAGAGTGGTGTCGGACACATCTGGACCCAGGAGCTGAAGGATGCCACGGGGCTGTCTCTCCATATCACAGTGTTTCTGGCCTCTATGAGGCTTCCGTCAGAGACTGACTTTGAAGGACAAGAAGGCTGTATCACCTATCAAGCAGCCAATCAAGTATTTATCTCCTGGAAGTGTCTGTTCAATTAACCTACAGTTTCCTGTAAACCAATGCTTTTAGACAGGGCCCTGTGGCACTCAGTCAGTCTAGGACATGTGTATTTTCCAAAACCCAGGCTATAAGTGTTAGTGAAGCTCCCCAGGAAGGGAGCAGCGAAGTGTTCTTAGCAGAAATAGTTCCCATGCTTACAGTTGTACCTAACCCTTAGAATAGCAAGGTCAGAGTCAGACTTACTGTTAATTTGCCATAACGGATAAATCAATGCGGATACAATAGCTCATCAAATATCTACATTTCATCCATCCTCCCCCCTTTATCTTCATGTTTCCATAGGAGGCAAAGAGGACAAAACTATTAGGAGAAAGAATGTCTATTTAAAGAGTCATTTTCTTTGTTTCATTTTATTATCTTAGCTTTTTAGATCTGTCCTAAAGACCTCTTGCCATGTGACTTGCGTCTCTATAAGCTGTGAGGATCCTCCAAGCAGAGATAGACATCGTATCTCTCCCCTGTTGTGCTGACCGCATCCTTATCTGAGAACAGTTACTTAGGAGGAGTTGTGGACACACTCAGTGAGTGACAGTGTGTCCTGAGCCCAGCTGGCTCAGAGCTAGGTGGCTGTGGTTGCATAACACAGAGTCCTAAACCTGGAATTTGAACTTGGTTATTTTCTTACTCCCAACTTTGTCTTTCTTACCTTAATATATATATAATACATATTTAAATTTGTCGATGTGTGTGTGTGTGTGTGTGTGTGTGTGTGTGTGTGTGCATGAACTCATGTGCCATGGAGGGCTCAGATCATCTGTAACTACAGGTGTTTTTTTGAGCCGTGAAGTGGATGTTGGAAGCTGACCTTGGGTCCTCTGGAAGAACAGCCACCTCAAGATTCTGCATGTGTGGGGGTATTTGTGTTTGTGTGTGGTGTATGTGTGCGTGTTTGTGTGGTATGTGTTTGAGTGTGTGCACGTGTGTGTGTGTGTATGTGAATTTTCTCTACTTCAGTTTTCACAGTGATGCCATGAGGTTTCACTGTAATAGCATCCCCATCTTACAAGCAGGAAACTCAAGTACATGGGGCTTTTAGGCAACTTCTAACCTCCTGTGTGCTGTGGGATCTGGTCTTACGATAATGGCAGTAGTTTTGGGGAAACATTCCCAGAACTCCTAGGTAGTATGATTATCTCACCTTCCTGAAAAGAAGCCCATGGTGTGCCTGGAGTAGGAATGTGACACTGTGGTTTCTTGGAGCTCCCAAAGTCTCTTGTACCGTGGTAACAACAGGCCCCCACTTGATGATGCTTGATCTCCCAAGTGTCTTCTGTTTGTCTTCCCCAGCTTTCTGCCCCAGTTTCTTTCTCAGTAGTCTTCTGATTTCATTCTCATACCTAGTGATTCCTGTGCTGCTCTTAGAGGACTCTGCCCCTCTGCACTCCCAACTCCACACTTCCAGTGGACAGAAGCTGTCAATCAGGAGCCACACAGAAGCTTTTAGCTTGACATTTTCTGGGAAATGTAAGGACAAGTCCCTTCCATTTAAAAATGTATCAGAGCTGGTCATTTTGTTTCCTAAAAGGTGGCTGCATCCATCAGGTTTCAAACAGAAGCACAGAACTAGTAGGATATATAGATCTTCTACTGAGGAATTAACTTTTGCAGTCATGGGAGCTGGCTAGGTGAGCCAGGGGTTGAAACTATTGGGGATATCCCACAGTAGAAGTATTTTTCCTTGTCTGGGAAACCTGAACTCACCCCTCAAGAATCTTTCAGTGGACTGATTGGCCCCAACCTGGAATATCTAGGTCAGGTTCCCTCACCTCAAACCCTTAGTCTTGTCTGCAAAACACCCTCACATCAGCACCTGGGGGAATGTCAGGTTCAATAACTGGGCCCTGTGGTTTAAACAAGTTGGCACATAATCTGCCTACCAGAGTCATCATTTGAGGACTCCTGAAATACAGGCTTTGACCTGCTATGAATTCCCAAACCTCTGAATCTTTACCTGAGTTGTATGAAGTAGTCAGAGAACTGATTGAGGCAGTTTATTCTTAGATAAGTATGCTTGTATATTATTGAAAATAATAGGAGATCCGGGAAGGACAGATTGGATGAGGTAGCAAGACGATAAGTCTCTGAACTTTCATTTAGAGATCATCACTTTCAATTTGTGGTTTGTATTTTCCTTTCAGTGCATTAGTTTTCCTGCATTCCAGAATGCTCCTCAGATCTCTGTGGCTAGTGAGCAGCATTTTAGGCCCCTCTGATATTTCATGGAATTAAACCGCTTGTATGTCTGTGGTTCTTATGTTCTTGGGAAAGACACAAGATAAAGGAAACAGCTACGTGATTGTATGGAGGTGATGTGTAGGGGGATGGGAGAGACAGTGCTGCGTCTGTGTGCACAGCTATCTGCATATCATGCAGGCTCCAGTGCAAAATGCAAATTCAGTGTGTCCTAATCAGAGCCTAGGAAAACCACCAAGCTTTCTGCTTGGCTCTTGAATCTTTTTCAGGGATTATCCACCTGGTTTCTTATCATTATTTACTATTTAACACCGCTCCAAGGAAAGAAAAATAACGGAAGCTTTAGATGACTGGCATGTGCTTGTGACGGTGCTATGCCCAGCCTCTGTGCATAAGGGCAGGCTACAAGCCCTCACAAATGGCACTTTCTACTCGAGACTGGGGTTTGCTTCTGTCCAACACTGCCCTGCCCATTTGGATTTGATTTCTAGACATGCACTGATTAGGCTTCACCTCAGGCCAGGTGACAGGCAGGAAGGACTGTGGGGGGCAGTAACCACAGTTGCTCCACCTCTCCTTTTCTTCCTGTGCTGTGAGTTCACTGGAGGTTGTTGCCAGGGAAAGCATGGCAGAGGATTCCTGGATCGCCTGTGTTTCTAGGACACAGCTGACTGCATTTGAAGAAAAGTCTGCCTCTTAAGGGTGGCCTCTTGGCCTGTCCGTGTCCCCGCTTCCTTAGTCGTAGGCTTAACTTCTTACCTCCTTTCACCTCGACTCTCGATGCATTCTAGGTATCTGGTCCCAGCAGAATTCTCAGTCATGGGCCATCACTGATACACGTAGGAAGCAAGGATTGAGGAAGTCCGTGTTGGGACTGTCTCTTGAATGATTGTGCTCTACTGTGCCATGCAGGATCAATTGCAAAACAAAACTTTAAAGACACAGTTATGATGAATTTTGAAACAAGGATACTAATCCAGACAAGAAGTCCTGTGAGGGGGTGACTCTCTTGAGTATGGGTTTCTGTGCAATTGCATAGGTTGCATGCCCGTAAAGTTGGGGCTGTGTGTGTGTGTGTGTGTGTGTGTGTGTGAATATTCGTGTACATACTCTTAGATGTAACTGATGATAGGGATATGTGATAAAGGCCTTTAGGAAAGTGAGGAAGCCAGCCTTCCAGATACCTTGGGTAGAAGCAGCATGTTTAGAGGTTCCAGGACACATGTGTCTTTGGTGTATTCTCAAACATTAAGGTGGCCCCTGTGGCCGGATCCATAATTGAAAACATGAAGTAGAGAGATAAAGCTAGGGAGACAGTGGGTCTCTGAATGATGGGTAGCTTCAACGGCTAATGTAAAGGGCTTTGGATTTTTCTCCGAATTGCTGAGGATACCTGGGAGAATGTCAGTAAAGACATGGCATACTGTGCCATAGCTGGAGCTTAGAGAAAGCCCTTTGGCTTCTGTGTAGTGACAATTTATATAGAGAGAATGTTGGAAGAGTTACAGTAGTCTAAATGAAGACAAAGCCTACGACTAAGCGGCACAATGTCCTGGTTGGTTTTTATTGCCAACTTGACAGGGTCTAAAGTTATCTGGGAAGAGGAAACCCCAACTGAAGAATTAGCTCAACGATATTGGCCTGTGGCCAGGTCTGTGAGAAATAGTCATGATTAATGATTGATGCGGAGGGACTTGCCTACTGTGGGTGGCACCATCCCCTAGTAGCTGAACTTGAAACAAGCCAGTGAGTGAGCCACTAAGCAGCATTCCTCCATGATAACTGCCTCCAAATTCCAGCCTTGAGTTCCTGTTCCTCAGTGACAGACTGTGAACTGGAAGTGTAAGTTGAAATAAACCTTTCTCTCCCCCCCCCCCCAAGTCACTTTTGGTCAGAGTATTTTTATCACAGCAACAGAAAGGAAACCAGAACACATAGATTCCAATGGTTAAACAGAACCACATTTGGAACAGTTTTCAAAACTGATGTGTTGGGCTGTCACTTGCAAAGATGTCGCTAGAATTTTGGCTGGAGACCATGGAGAAGAATAGCTTACTGAGCAGAAACTCTCCCAAGGTCCTACAGCAAGTTCCGGAGAGAGCTGTGCAGGACTGGGCAGGGCACAGAGTCTCAAGGGATTTCCTGTATTGAACCCCCTCTATTGTCCTTTCTCGATCATTATTCCTGGTAATGCTAAATCTACGCATATTGTATCTCCAAGAATTTTGGAGATTCCAAGAAGCTTGGAAAAGCTTCTCAGATGACAAAGTCCTCATGAAGTGATGCCACCATGACCTTGTGTGTTCATGTCTCTGCTGGAGACTGGCTGCTTGCCACAGCTTCATTTCAGTCCAATCTTCATAGGATTTTACCCTTTCCATTGAATAATATCAATGGCCTCACTTATTACAACAGAGTTATTAAGACAAAGCATCTGCTAGTAAGTTTGATGTGCAGTTGAATCAAGGTACACATTCAAGTAATTTTGACTCTCTCGGTTTATTTCTCTATTTTTAGCACTTCCAGACCATGCTGAAGTCTAAATTGAATGTCCTAACGCTGAAAAAGGAACCTATTCCAGCAGTCATCTTCCATGAGCCGGAAGCCATTGAACTGTGCACCACCACACCACTGATGAAGGCGAGGACTCACAGTGGCTGCAAGGTACAGGGCGCGAAGACATTAGTGCTTCTCTTGGTGGGCCAGATACGAGCCTGTGTGGCATGAGGGATCAGAGTTTTTTTTCCCAGTAGTTCGTGGTTTAAGAATGTAAATATCACATGCATAGCAGTCTCATTGAGTGGTGTTAGTTTGAACTCACATCCTGATTTTTTTCCTCTCTCATTAATAGAACTTTCTGTTTGTTTGTTTACCATTTTAGAGACATATATAACCAATATCAGTTTTAGTAAGCATGAATAAAATAGTATTCTTATTGATCCTTCAGTGGCTGTATGGAACTTTGACTTTTATAAGGAAGTTTTATTTTTACTTTTAGATTTTTGATTTTTTTTTTTTTTTTTTTGAGACAGGGTTTCACTGTGTAGCTTTGGCTATCCTAGAACTCACTCTGTAGACCAGGCTGGCCTCAAACTCACAGAGATCTGTTTGCCTTTGCCTCGCGAGTACTGGGATTATAGGCGTGCGCCACCACCACCTGGCTGGAAGTTTTATTTTTTTAAGATTTATTTTTTATGGGCATGCATGCATGCATGCGTGCGTGTGTGTGTGCGTGCGTGTGTGTGTGTGTGTTTGTGTTAGTTTTTTTGTTATTCGTGCAGGTGCTCATGGAGACTGGAAGATAGCATCGATAGATTCTTTGAAGCTGGGGTTTCAGGCAGTTGAATGTGAGCGGCTGGAGGTGGGTGCTGGGATCCAGATTCCAGGGTTGTGCAAGTGCTGTTGTGCGTTAGCGTCTCCCGCTCCACAGGGGAGTTTTATCTTCCATCACAGTTCCCCCTTTTGTATTTGCAATCTGAACAAACATGTCTTAAAGGATGGAAATACCCAACCTCAAACCATAGCAAAACAAAGTACATCTCCAATACCTGAAACTTCCAAATTTCCTTGGAGGTTATTTTGCATTTTTTTCTCTCAAAATTTATATCAATATTCATGCCTCAGAATCTGTAAAAAACAAAAGCACCCTTTTCACTCATGCAAACTATAATGCTGACATAGAAACAAAACTAGAGACAAAATATTCAATTTTGGTAAATTTTTGGATTTTTTTTTCCTCATATCCTTTTTTTTTTCTTTTGGTTGGGTTAGCGAATACAGAAATGTTTAGAGATAACAAAGAAAATATGTCTTATGCATATTTGCCACCAGAAGCTTGTTTAGAGTGGAGAAAATATAATACGGGGACAGGAAATGCGTATTTGCTTATCGTCTTTCTTTTTTAAGCCTCTTAGATCCACCCGTCTCCTTATTTCCTGTTGTTGGGGAAGCAGGTCCTGCATAGCTGTGGTCAGGTTGGAGCCTGCAGAGATCTGGGGTGACAGCAGTTTGTACACCGCCCCCCCATTCATTCATTCCGCACATACTTACTGCATGCTCAGTGTGGGCAGGCTCTGGGGTAGAATGTGGACAAGACCCACAACATCTTTATGGAATTTTAGCTGCTAGAGGAGAAAACGCATGTACACAGCCATTGACTGCTGAGAGCCGGTTTGTAAAGACCTTCAGGAAGTGCCTTCAAGCAGGAAAAAAGAAGAGATTCTGGGTTTTCTAAATGAATGTCGGCTTGCTGTCATTTTGAAGGGAAAGAAATGGGCCAGTGTGCTCGGAAGGCTGAGGAAGGTTTGAATGGTGGGGTCAGGCAAACAGAGCCTTATGGTCATGCCAGGAGTTTAGATTTTCTTTGAAGTATAATGAAAATTTAAGCACGTAAGTTGAGACTCCATTTTCAAAACAAAGTAGTTGACTGGAAGGAGAGAATTGTGAAATGGTCTTGGGTCCACCGTGTGAGAACAGTTGACTGGATGGGAGAATGAGTAAAATGGCCTTGGTTCTATCATGTGTAACTCCACTGGTGAAGAGCTGAGGAGCTAGAAAAATAGTGATGACTTGGAGAGTGACTGGAAATCAAAACTCATGTACCTTTCCTTAGAAGATGTGCTCATGTCATTTTCAATTCTGTTCTTGTTATAGAAGATGGTACCTTGAAGCCAGATGAAGTTAAGTGGGGATGAGTATAAGGAGGACAGCTTAATTTGATGAAGTACACAGAGTATACTTATGATGCAAAGGAGAGTTTAAAAATGTCACAGAATGAAAATTAGTGGCCCATGCCTTTAGTCCCATCACTCAGTAGGCAGAGGCAGGTGGATCTCTGAGAGGTCAATGGCAACCTGGTCTACAGAGTGAGTTCTAGGACACCCAGAGCTACACACTAAGACACTGTTCCAAAACCAAAACCAAACCAAACCAAAGGAAGTCACGACAGCCTCGTCTACATACAAAAGTTTGTGTATGTGTGTGTGTGTGTGAGAGAGAGAGAGAGAGAGAAACAGACAGACAAGGGTGATAGGAAAGGTAGGGAAGGGAGAGAGAGAAAGATAGAGGGAGGAAGAGGGACAGGAGGGATTTTGTAGAGTAATAAAGGAACAAAACTAAATAGCTTTCATTTTTTTCTGGAAAGTGTATATAGCTCAATATTAACCTTTTTTTCCATGTACAATTATGGCCCTTAAGCAGTACTCGCTTATCTTCATTTTTCTAAAAGGATGTTGGGGAGCTGAGGAGCTGACCCAGTGGTGAAAGAGAACTACTGTTCTTGCAAAGACTAGAGTTACGTTTCCAACACTCACGTCAGGTAGCCCACAACCACCTTAAACTCCAGCTCTAGGGCAGAGGATCTCAACCCATGTGTCATGACCCCCCCTTTAAAGGTCAAACAACCCTTTTACAGGGGTTGGATATCAGATGTGAAGTAGCAATGGAAATAATTATATAGTCGGGGGCCACTGCAACATGAGGAAATGGATTGATGGGTAGCAGCATTACGAAGGTTGAGAACCACTGCTCCAGGGGATATGACGCCTTCTTCTGGCATCCACAGGTACCTTCATTCATGCATAAATGCCAGTACACCTATATACATAAAAGATTAAGACTAAAAGAAATTGGGGAGATGAGAATTTCAGGTAAGGATATTGCAGAGGGTCATTGTGCAGCTGGCAGTCTGTGTGGCCAGCTGGACAAAAGGAAGTCACCTGTGATTTCAGCTGAACCCAGGGAAAAGTTTCTGTAGCCAAGGTGAAAAACATTAGACCATCAAAGAACCATATGAACTCAGCACTCTTAGAAATGGCAGAGGTTCAAGGCATGGATAATGGCACCCCTAGAGTCAGAGAGCAGGGTCAACAGCTCTCTGAGCATTTCCATTTTGTCTGACCATTCTAAGTAAGAAAGTCCTCAACATGTGATTCTTAAACTGTATGCTATTGACTTAATACTGCTACATTCTGCAAATATGATGGAACTCTCTTTTTTCCCCCAAAGATAATACCGTGCTTGTTTTCAAAGTCATGTTCCTTTGTTTATTTTTTTAAAGGTTAGATCTTGGAAATTCTGACATTCCTGTTTAAAAATCCCCAAACCTCCCCCTGTTTCTCCCTAGCCATCTTCAAGAACAAAGCCTAGTGTTTCCTCCCTGCTTCTTGCCAGGGAGTAACTCGGCGCATGAGATGCCAGCTGCAGAGGGAACTCTCTCTCCGACTCATGAGTCCCAGGAATAATGAGCATAATGTAGTTCTGGCCCAGCTGCAGGGCCAGGGTTTGGGACCCTCCATCTTCACAGAGAACTGCTTCTTTTCTTCCTAAGAGCTCCCAAGCTGTACTTGCATAACTTTTACTTTGGGAAGGGAGAGGGGCAGGAAGAGGCCAAGGGGAGGGGAGTTGAAAATGGGTTAAAGTTAGCATCACTGAGCCCCTCGCTCATCTCAGATATCCTGTTTCCCTCTGATCTGTATTCTCTGTGGGTCCTGGAGAGATTGCCTTGCCAGGCTATTCATGTTTTGGGCAGCTGGGGCTTTGTGTGTTCTTTTTCTTTGGTGTAGGTTTTTTTTTTTTTTTTTTTTTAAACCTGATAGCCCATTGCACCCCCTTGGGACTCTCACTGGCACAGTTTTGAGCTTCATAGGTCCTATGTGATTTTGCAGCAGTGGTGATGGCCTTTTGTACCCCTTCCCCCTTGCATGATGGGATTCTGGGTAGCTTGCCTGCTTAATGAACATTTTTTGAACCGACACACATTGAAGGCTTGCTGTATGTTGGACTCATAGAGAAAGGGATCATAGGAAATGTGACGTATAAACAAGCAGACGAAATAGGAGGTGTACACAAGTAAATTAACCCCAACTACTTTTTTTTCTGGTTTATTTTATTTTATTTTTTTTTGTAAAAGGTCTTCTTGATCCTCACAGTGGGGTTACACTTAATTACTTAATTTTTAATTAGTTTAGAATGCGTGCACACACATGCATGTGCAAAGTAGCGCATGTAGCAGTCAGGAGACAACCTCGTGGGGGTTGATTCTCTCCTTCCACCGCGTGGGGAACAAAACCCAGGTTGTGTCAGTCTTGGCATCAGGGGTGTACATAAGAATCTCTTTGGGGAGGGCAGAGACAGGTGGATCACTGTGAGTTCAAGGCCAACCTGGTCTACAAAGCAAGTCCAGGATAGCCAAGGCTACACAGAGAAAACCCTGTCTTCAAACAAAACAAACAACAACAACAAAACCCAAACCAAACCAAACCAAAACAAAAAAACCATGAATTCTTCCCAGGAACTTCTATTCAAGCACTAAGCATTAGTGGCTGGGAGCAAGAGCCTGCATTCTAAAATCTACCACAAAATTTAACCAGAGGTGGGCTGTTCGGTGCTTGAGGATGTTACCCACAGAGAAGTGTCTGATAGGGGTAGTATAAGGTAAGCAACCCGTGAGCTCACTGACTGGCACATTACAGTCTATGTGGGATTTGACAGAGTAGGTCAAGATGTCTAAGGGCAAATAGGGCTCTGGAGTCACTGCACAGACATGTGCTCTGGGCTTCTGTGTGTCTTATCCTCCAGGGGGCGCTGTCCTACTTGCACAGACTCACTTCCAGGTCTGCTCCCCACAGTCCTGAAAACCGGAATAAAATAAAGATTATGTTGTT